TTTTTACTCATCCACCAGGTCAACAGTGACGAATGCTAGGGGTATAGTTAGAGTTGAGCTTTGTTAAATAGGCAAATGTCACCTTTCAAATAAAGTTTCATATAATTATTTTGGCATAACAGCTTCAATTTTAAATAGTTTTCACTTAATCCAAATAAGTAAAAGTACTATAAAAAGTGGGGGACATTAACCCAACCTAAACCCTACCCCTCACCCGAACGCTAAATGTTTTGCTAGTGGCATGTTGGTTGTTAAAAGGATAATAATTCACTCGAGTGGAATAATGTGTACAAAGACAAAAGCGTAAAAGTTTCTTCTAAACAGGCTTGACTCCTCCATTAATAGATATCCAGTTACCACCAAAAACAGAAGCCGCAAACATCATCTTCTCCACCCTCAACCCTCAACCCTCACCGCTGCCAGATGAAGGAATGCAAGAGATCAGTTTAATTCAAACCCACTGTGTCATTTCTCATTAGTGAAGCCTTCAACAGCCTAACTCAGCTCTCTGTCCGTTCGGTTGGTGCCAGCACCCAAACTGCCAGGCAACTGCTTTAATGTGAAATTCAAAACTAAAAACTGCATTCCAGTGTTACAGCGGCCCATGCCACGTGTTCATCTTTTAGTATTTTTTTATTTTTTTTGGCTCTAACTCGTTGCCTGTCCACACAGGCGTATTATCTGTGACGCTATCTGCCACGACATTGCCTGGCTCAAAGCGGAGAGTCTTGGCTGAACCTCTTATATCACAAATGGCAGATGTGTCATTCATTTTAATAAAAGTGGCCTAATGTCATTACAAAGCTCTCAGCATGCTGGAACTAAAAATAAAGCTGGGTCACAGTTAAGTGTTGTAGTGTCAATGATGGGTTGAGTTGAGTCCTCCACTTCCCACCAGCGTGTGATTTCTTGGTTACTGCAGCCCCGTGCACATGCAGGATGTAAGGACGGGCGCAAGAAGCTGCTGAGGGCTTTTAGCGGCATCCGTTCTGCAGCACTCCCACTGTGACAAGCATGCCATTTATTTTCTTATCACACTTTCTCTAGTTGATCATGTCCTGAAAGAGTGGCTTATTACGCCTGGGATAGGGAGGGCACTCTGCCTAATTAATACCCAGTTAAAACCAGAGACAGCAGGAACGATGGCCCAGATGACCTTAGAGTGAGAATGTCAACATGGCTTTAAATTTATGCAGTCTGGTGTTTCAAGAAGGATTCATGTCCTTTATTTAATTTAAAGCAGCAGTAAAACAGTATGTATAGAGTGGCTAGCTAAAAGGATCTTACTTGCAGAAAAATGGCCTCTTACATCATTACATCCATAATACTGATGCATCAGTCTGTAAGCAGCATTGTAATGATGTAGCTGTCACAGTATTTGAAAGCAGGACCAAAATGCAGGACCCAGGCAGACACCAAATGACAAAAATGGACCTTTATTTAGCTGGCAGTCCAACTCCCAAAAAATAAAAGTCCAAAATGAAAACAAACCGATATCCAAAAGGCCATCATAGGGAGCCAGGCAAGATTGACAGATGCTATGACAATGCTTCACAGTGTAATAAGGGAAGTGGAAATCGGAAATAGGTGCAGAGAATAATGACAGTCACAGGAATGAGGCAAAAGTCAAAGTCAAACAAAGGTGACAACAACTTCCAAAGTTAAACAGGTAAAAGCAAAAGAACCCAACAAAGTAAAGAGAGGCAAGAAAGCAGAATAGCATAAAGAAATCAAAACAGTGGCTGCCGGTGGAAACTGCGCTACTGTTGGCTGAAGGTAGAGAGGGATGAGAAGATGAAGTCAGAGAGGCAAGCCTGCGATGGTTCGGACATGTGCAGAGGAAAGATAGTGGATATACTGGACAAAGACAGAAGGAAAAGGACGATGGCTGTAGTGAAAGAGGACATGCAGAGGGTTGGTGTGACAGAGGAGGATGCTAGGGATAGGGTGAGATGAAAGGAGATGATGCACTGTGCCAACCCCTAAAGGGAGCAGCCGAAGAAAGAAAAAGAAGAAGGAGAAGGATAGCTAACTCAAAACGTAACCAACAGGGAGACAGTAGGTTTTTATACTTTTATAGTGCTGGTGTAGGTTAGTGGTAGATTCACAGCACATTTGAAGGGCGATGAAACAAAGTCTTTCTGTACAAATTAGTTTTTTGACATTGAAGTGTTTCAGATGTGATATTTAAATGGTGCTATTTGGTAAAGTAGTAACAGCTGGCTGCGTCTTTTGTAAAATGTTATGCAAAAAGTTAGGGAGATATTTTATAACATCATAAGGTTTTTTTTGTAAAATCTTTATGTGAAGCCCTGCAATAGACTGACAACCCGTCCACTCGCCCTATGATGGTTGGGATAGGCTCCGCCCATCCTCACTCCCAACCGATGGCAGGTTATGGCTGCCCCTCCCTGAGCCTACTTCGGTTTCTGAGTTTTTCCTTCTCAGTGTTGGGAAGTGCTTGCTCATAGGGCGTAGTCTGATTGCTAGTGTTTTCTCTGTAATATCTTCCTCTACCTCTTTACCTTACAATACGTATTAGATTTGGAGCTATAGAAATAAAATGGAATTGAATGGAATTAAGTGTAGGGAGTAAAAAATTGTTAATTTTTTTCAGAAATGTAATTAAGTAGAATTATAGAAGAAACGTTTTATTTTACGTTGAGAGAAATGCATGAATTCATTAATCAATGTTGTCGTTAAAATAAAAAATCTATACATTTTTTGAGCAGCCTGTTGCCATCTGGTGATATTCAGAAGAGATTACCTTTTCAAGGCATGAAACAAGTTTAACTAACAGTGCAAGGTTAATTCCTGGAACTGCATAGTTCAGTGAGCATCGCTGCAACTCCGCTCGTCTATGACAGAAAGGGCCGGAGGGGCATCAGGTGTGTCTCCCGTTCAGGCCCTTCCTTGGGTGTGAGGTGTTAATCCAAAGTGAACACGCAATCCTCAACACAGATTCGTAAGGTTCAGAGGCTCCACATCAACAATGCATGTGGGCGAATGGAGCAACACTTACACATGGCTGCATTTGAGAGATGCAAATCAGTTGTCGCTCACTTGTGATTTGTCTTCATGAGAAGCGGCAAAGATTTCGGTTTTTTTTTAACCTAGAGGAAACTATTGAAAAAAATGACACTTCCTCATATCTTGTGATATAAAAATAGACAATAATTCGGATTTTTGATGCAGATATAGTGTACTTGAAAAGCAGATGGCTCACATTTCACAATAGAAAGAACGACTTTAAAAATAGTTAACGTGCAGCTATATCCAGCCGGTCCAGACGTCATTTGCTGCGACGAAAGCCGAGGCAGATGCCAAACCGTCCATTCACGATGTAACTGGATGTTTCACTTCATGTGGATTTATAGGGACGCCCATGCTACTAGGTTAATACTGTATTATGTCGAGCTCTGTTTCAATTACACAGAGTCAGTATGGGCTCGTTACACTGCCCGGCCTCTCTCCTCGCAGTCATTCTGTCTCATCTTAGTCCAAGCCATCTGTTACAAGCGCGGCTCGAATCCACGGCGTGAGGCTGACATATAAGTTACCACTGTAACAGACTATTACTGACACACACCTCGCAGTAAACTAAAGCCAAAGAAGAAGATGAGCGCGAACAGGTGCAGCTCTTTGCAACATAGAGACATATCCTTTGAAAGTAATTGCGTGCTGACTGCTGACACCCTCTCTAGTGCTGGGGACAGGGTGTAGGAGCGAGAGCTATGTATAGGCCAAATCTAAAGGCATGTATGCACCTATAGCCGAACACATATGGAGACACACACACACACACACACACACACACACACACACACACACACACACACAC